TTAATGTGCTTCTTCTTGAGCCACTCCTTTGTTGCCTTGGTGGTATGTTTCGGGTCATTTTCATGCTGGAAGACCCATCCATGACCCATCATCAGTGTTCTGGCTAAGGGAAGGAGGTTCTCGTCCAAGATTTTACAGTACATGGCCAGTCCATTTGCCCCTCAATGCAGTGAAGTCGTCCTGTACCCTTAGCAGAAAAACAGCCCCAAAGCATAATGTTTCCAGCTCCGTGCTTGACTGTAGGGATGGTGTTCTTGGGGTCATAGTCAGCATTTCTCTCCCTCCAAACATGGCGAGTCGAGTTAATGCCAAAGAGCTCAATTTTGGTCTCATCTGACCACAGCACTTTCTCCCAAGCCTTCTCTGAATCATTTAGATGTTCTTTGGCAAACTTTAAACGGGCCTGTACATGTGCCTCCTTGAACAGGGGGACCTTGCGGGCGCTGCAGGATTTCAGTCCATTGCGGTGTAGTGAGTTACCAATGTTTTGCTTGGTGACTGTGGTCCCAACTGCCTTAAGATCATTAACAAGCCCCTCTCGTGTAGTTCTGGGCTGATCCCTCACCTTTCTCATGATCATCCTTACCCCAGGAGGCGAGATCTTGCACAGAGCTCCAGACCGAAGCCGATTGATGGTTGTTTTGTATTTCTTCCATTTCCGAATAATCGCACCAACAGTTGTCTCCTTCTCACCAAGCTTCTTGCTGGTGGTCTTGTAGCCCATTCAAGCCTTGTGGAGATCTACAATCTTGTCTCTGATATCCTTTGACAGCTCTTTGGTCTTGCCCATGGTGGTGGGAGAGGTTGGAATGGAAGATACAGATTGTGTGGACACAGGCCTAATGAGCTGGCATTAGGAGTAACTTCTTAAAGGGACAGGACTAATCTGTGTTCCACATGGGCACATAACCAATCTGTGGGAGCCAGAATTCTTGCTGGTTGGTAGGGGATCAAATACTTATTTCACTCACTGAAATGCAAATCAAATTCTAACCTTTATATAATTTTTTGGTTGCTATTCCCTCTCTATAATTTAAAATAAACCCATCATAAAAATTACAGACCCTTTATTTTTTTGTAAGTGGGCAAACTTACAAATCAAATAAATATTTTCCCCACTGTATATATTTGTGCAGCAGCAGTATGTCTTTAATACTCACAGCACTGTATCACGATGTATTGGCAGTAGCAAGTTCCTGTATTTGCTTACATTTACATTGTCATTTAGCAGACACTTTTGCAATAATCTACAGCAGCAGCAATTCAGCAGCAGCAGAGTAGCAGATCTATTCCGCCTAGACCAAATACATTAACATTGTCATATCCATTACCATGCTAAAATCTTCAGAGAGTTGTCATGATAGAAATGTATTTATTTTTGTTTGTTTATCTAAAATATTTTTGTAATACTTTTTTCAAAAAGAAGTCTTATTTTGAAAAACAAAAAATAAAATAAAAATGTATTAATATTATTATTATTATTATTTTATTAATATGAATATTCTTTTATTTTGTGGTTATATACATATATAAGTTTTAAAAGTAATTTTTTTTCATGCTTTGTTATATTGCTACCTTATGTTAAACTGCTTTAAATTACTTTTTGCCCACATCAGTCTACTGTATACTCCATACACTATAATGGTAAAGCAAAAAACATTTTTAACATCTTTGCAAATTTTTTAAAAATAAAAAACTTAAAGGATTCCGTTGCATAAGTATTAATTCCCTTATTTGGGGAAAGTTTAAATTTAGCTTCATATTGCTTGTAGACGTTACTACACTTCGAGTGAAGTTAACCTGTGGCAAATTCAATTGAATGGGTATGAAAGGCACACATGTCTTAATAAAATGTCTAACAGCTGAAAATGCATATCAGAGCAAAAACCAAGCCCTGAGGTCAAAAGAACTGCCTGTAGAGCTCAGAAACAGTTTTGCGTCAAGCCACACATCTGGGAATGAGTTCAGAAAAAAATTCTGCTTCATTGAAGGTTCACAGAAGCATGTAGTCTCTGTTACCCTTAATGGAAGAAGTTTGAAACAACCAGGACTCTTCCTAGAGCTGGCCTCCAGGCCAAACTGAGCAACTGATGGAGAAGGGCTTTGTCTAGACTGGTGACCAAGAACCTGATGGTCACTCTAGTTGAGCTCCATGATCATATATGCAGATAGGAGAAACCTACAGAAGGACAAATATCACTGCAACACTCCACTGATCTGGGCTTTATGGCGGTGTGGCAAGACTCAATCCTCTCCTCAGTGAAGACACATGAAAACAAAACTTGGAACTTGCAAAAAAGCACCTAAAGGGCCCTCAGACTGTGAGAAACAGGATTCTCTGGTCTGATGAAACTCAATTCCAAGCATCATGTTTGACGGAAACCAGGCACTGCTCATCATCTGCAGAGTATCATCCCAAAAGTAAAGTGTGCTGGTAGAAGCCTCATGCTGTGGGGCGGATTTTCAGCGTCAGGTTGTAGCCCATTCAAGCCTTGTGGAGATCTACAATCTTGTCTCTGATATCCTTTGACAGCTCTTTGGTCTTGCCCATGGTGGTGAGAGGTTGGAATGGAAGATACAGATTGTGTGGACACAGGCCTAATGAGCTGGCATTAGGAGTAACTTCTTAAAGTGCCAGGACTAATCTGTGTTCCACATGGGCACATAACCAATCTGTGGGAGCCAGAATTCTTGCTGGTTGGTAGGGGATCAAATACTTATTTTACTCACTGAAATGCAAATCAATTTCTAACCTTTATATTTTGATTGATATTCTGTCTCTATCTGTTAAAACAAACCTACCATAAAAATTACAGACCCTTAATTTCTTTGTAAGTGGGCAAGCTTACAAAAATCAGCAGGGATCAAATAAATATTTTCCCAACTGTATATATATATATATATATATATATATTAGAAACATAAACCCACACACTAATTAAACTTGCATCATGACAAAAATAATTTATTAATTGGCAAAGGAAACAATAGTAAAAACATGCTATTGGAGATGCACTAATAAATCTTTGTCAATTACTGATGATTATTTTAATGCTATGGCTATGTGAATTCAACAAAACTTGTCCAGGTCATATTTGTTTTCAAAAGAAAGTACAGTATTTTTAAGAATATTAAGAGCTTTGAATTGTTATTTTTATTAATTTTGTGACAATTAAGGACATTTTGCCCCATATGTATTTGTATTACTATAACGCAGAGCAATCTAATTCCTACAACTGTAATGTAAAATAAATAAATATTAGTACTTATACTTTAAAAAAAAGAGTATACATTATGCTGGTATTTCTTGTACTTTATTTAATGTATGCTGACTCAAAATTACAAAAAAATGACATTTTGGAATTTGGTGGAGTAGGGGAATTTTCTATTTTATTGTGTATTTTTTATATAAATGTATAGATTAAATAAATATAATTTTTAAATGTTTTTATATATTTATAATTGCTTATTTTATTTCATTATAACTAATAATAATATTAATCACAATAAAATATTTTATAATAAAGTATGTTATAACTATTTCATATATCATGCAAGTATTTCTTGTGCTTCCTGATGCAAAATAATGTAAACTGAGGATTTGGTGGGGGAGTATTATGTATAAAATAAAATATAATTTTATATTATTATTGTTGTTCTTGTTGTTTTCATGACAATTAAACAAATTTCCCCCAAAATTAAAACATGTAATATAACGAAATATATATATATATATCCCCATCGCTTTTGGAATGTGACCATATCTGCTTACAGTGTCTGTTAATAATACTGGTGAATATTGGCATTTAGTGAAGGTGTTGGAGTGAGTGTGACTGATGGTTGTTGTGCTGCAGGTATGTCAGTTGTGAGCAGTATGCTGAGTGCAGATGAAGGCAGCAGCGTCACTGTTCAATGTCTCTACAGTAAAAAACTCAGGTAACCTACTGTACATCTTTAACAGACTCATCTAAAAAGTGCCAGATATATGAATATCCCATAACCTGGAACGTATTTAACATTAATATATAAAGTGTTTATACGACATACAGTGGTGTGAAAAAGTGTTGGCCCCCTTCCTGTTTTTTACATTTTTTGCATATGTCACACTTAAAAGATTCAGATCATCAAACAAATTTTAATATTACACAAAGATAATGCAAGTAAATACAAAATGCAGTTTTTAAATGATTATTTATTTTATTAAGGGAAAAAAGCTGGCTGACACCACAAACTACATTCTTACATAATCAGTAGAAATGTGAGTGGTGTTTACCTGCAAATAAATAGAAACCTATTGAACACATTGTTATGTAGTTTCTGCCACACTGCATCACTGAACTTTTGCATAGATAAACTCAGCTCATGTTGCATTTGATTTCTGTCCTTATGCACAGCGTCTCCCATCCAGAATCTGAAGACAACAGTCAGAAATCCATCTGTAATGAGCTCAAATGACCCTCACAGGTGACCTTCTGCTCTACACCAGCACACTTCTGTATATTCGTTTCTCGTGAATGGATAAAAACATTTTAGCAGTCAGCTGTGTCATATATAAAGAAACGTTTTGGTGTTTGACTAACACATCATGTCTGTTTCAGCCGTCCTGTTTGGGAGTCTCCTCTTGTGGTGTGTGGGGTCGTGCTGCTGGTCATGACTGCATTTTTGGCACTTTGGAAGTTAAGGCAACTGTGTAGTAAGTTTCTAAAATTATTTGTAGTTTTTTACTGCCTTATAAATTCATTGAATTAATGGACGAGTCATTAGTTACTCATAAACTAGTCTAGAACCATTAAAGTCTCTGTTCTTTTTAGATATCTAATAAGCATTTGTTTACCTTTATTTTAACCCTATTTAGCTTTAGAACGAAAATTATGCATTCTGTTTTTTTTGTGCATAATGCTATTTTTCTCCATTTTGCAGAGAAAAAGCAGAAACATCGAGGGACAAATGAAATGAACGATAATCTCACAGTCAGTGCATTTTCTCTGTTACCTTACAGTCAGCATTAAATAAAAAAATACCCTATTTACTTTCTTAATGTACATTTCTGTTCTTTTTGTGGAGATATTATTGGTGTACATTGCTCCAAAAAAATAAAAAATAATAATTGTGGAAAGAGTAAAAATGGAATCTGATTAAGCATTTGAAAGATGTTAATTAATAAATGGAATTTCCCCCCTTTTTGCAATTAGATCACAATTGGATCAGTTCAATTCATGAATGAATCGTTTAATGCAATTTGTGAGCCAACTGAACTGGTTCATTGAAAGAATTGTCTTGAATTCTTCACTTTGAAATAAGGGGAAATTAAATGTAAAAAGTGAGATATTATGCTTTTGAGTATAAGTTCAATTTTCCCCAGAATGAAAATACACTGATGCATGTATGTTGACATTAAACCTTCAAATCGTTTAAGCAACTGTATGAAGTTTTGTGTGTTTTTGCGACTTTTACAGTTAAGTGAAAGAATTCACTGTCGTAATTACAGCGGAGAGCTGTACACATGCATTTGTTGCTGCAGTAAAGCAATCCGCTCCTTTTGCGGAATTTCGTACCCGTCCCGCTCATTAAACATACACACTCCCAGAACAGACGTTTGTGAAAAAAAAAGAAAAATTAATTCGCCGTATTAGAAATCAGTGTGCCATCAGAACTATTTTGAAACCATTATTTCAAGGTAAAAAAACAGACATACAGATGCTTTAACAAGAAATTACACCTGAAGTGCTATGCAAAGATTTATACACGGCTCACGATTATGTTGTGTCTGTGTCCAACTGTGATGAGATGTTTTTCTGCTGTATTTTATATATTTTTTTTTACTCGTTTTCAGATGTGTCCTTGGAGAGAAGGAGACTATAAGAACGCCTCAGTGATTTTCTTGAACGCTCCAGCTCAGGCCCAGATGCTCTGACAGAGGAGCTTCATGATGGGAAACACCAAACTCATGGGCATTCTGATGCTGAAGGAGATTTGAAAGGGAACTGATGGACACTTTAAGTCTCATTATGTAGTCTAAGAGAGTCCTGCAGACTGGAGAAGCTGGAGGCCGGGGTAATATTTGACATTCCTTCACATGTAACAGTTAAATGGTAGATCATTGATCATTTTAATGCATATTTCATGTCATGTATTTCTCTGTAAGCACAAGCCTTATGAGTGAATTGTGCTGTTTAAGCATGTTTTCACCAATGAGCAGCGGTTATTCTCAACTAACAGTGCAAAAGATGTGCGACTGTTTACAGAAGCACTGAGAATGTGTCCTTATATCACTTTTTACCATATTAGAGACTATATATCGTCATGTTTTAGCAGCATATACTGAATACGATCATAAATGATAAAAAAAAAACTTTCATCTGTTATTAACCTCTGTACAGAAATAGTGTCTTATTCACATCCTGTTTCAAGTCCTATTAACATCTTTATTTGTGGTTGTTTGTCACCTCCTGCATATAAATAAACGTAACCCACTCAAGTCGGTCAATACACAGAAACCTCAAGAGGGAAACGCTTTGATGTCGACTGCATTGCACATGAAGTAAATAATTCTTATTAGAATCATCTTAAATGTCTCGACCAAGTGATGCATATGTAACTTGTGATTTTTGCAGCATTTGCAATCAAGCATGATGTTTTATTGTAAATCAACTTTATGTGACATAAGCAACTGAATAGCACGGATGCAGGAAGTGAGTCTGAGACTATGAGAACTTTATATCATATGTGATAAGCATAAGACAGAGATAAGCTGTATAACAGAGATAAGAGACAAGCTGTTTCTGTGGTATTAAAATAAGATAACAAAATGCCAGTTTGCAGCATAACAGACTAATTTTGTACAGGTGAAATGTTGTACTGTGGCTGATTGTATCCACAATGAAAGTGCTATATAAATGCCTCATTCATTATATATCTGATTCCTGTATATCTGAGATGCTGTATTATTTCTCTCAAATTGTCAGTTTATAATTGGCTATCGTGGAAGATGCAAGACGTCTAAGAGCATTTCCTCTTCCGTCTTAGATACTATAAGAATAGAAAACAGAAGTTGACCAGTTGTCAAAAAACTGTGTGTGTGAAAAACTCATACAGGAAACATAAGCAAGAGCAAACGCAATGGCCTCATATACAAAAGCAAAAATATTCTACATATCAATCGGGTTTTGGCTTATTTCAGGTAAGAGTATTTAATATTGTGCTGTGTTTGTTTGTACTGGATCCTGTTGATCCTTTTGAAATGACACATTTTATGCTGTTCATGTTGTTTATAATGTGTTTTAAATGAAGATGGAACAAATTAAGAAATTATTGGTTAATGTTGGATATAATAAAGGTCTGTGTGTTGTTTAGGTGTTGTAAGCTACAGCGGTTGGTCAAAACATGTATTAACTATTCTGACTGGAGGATCTGTCACCATCCCATGTCATTATGACAAGAAATACACACAGCAGAAGAAATACTGGTTCTCAGAGATTGATAAATCTAAAACATACACAAATAAAACAGAGGAGAATCTGTCAGTAATTGATCATCCTGATCAGAGTCTCTTTACTGTGACTATGAGAAACCTGCAGGACAAACACACTGGACATTATTATTGTGTTGTGGAGACCGGAGAACAACCACCGATAAATGTCATATATGAGAAGCAGCTCAAGATTCAATCTGGTAAAACATTTTGCAATTGTTTTAATCAAATTCTAATACAAATATGTATTTTATAATCACAAATAAATGATTTGTGCGTGTGTGTGTGTTCAGCTCCTGATGTGTCTGTGGTGAGCAGCACTGTATCTGGACATGAAGGTGGTGATATCAGTGTTCAGTGTCTCTACAGTTCTGAATATCAGAATGACGTCAAACAGTGGTGCAGATATAAAGATCAGAGCTGTTACACAGTGGGGAGGACTGACACATCCCAGAATTTATCAGTCCAGATCAGTGATGATGATGGGGGAAGATCCTTCACTGTGCTGATGACTGGACTGAGACTGACTGATTCTGGCTGGTACTTCTGCTCTGCTGGAGAGGCACTGAATCCTGTTCATCTCAACGTAATAGGAGGTGGTAAAACTTATTTAATACTCTTTTCGAATACCGAATAATCAATCCATAATCGATACTATAAAAGTTCTGCTGTTAGAAAAAAAATATATTTGTAATTTGACAGTAAGTGTGAGCACAGACGTCGGCATTGAGAAGGACAGGTTAGTATTAACAAATTCCCATTATTGTGATTTATTCTTTAGCAACATCTAAACTTCAGTTGTCTTTAATGTTCCATCAAATATTATGCTAGTCTTTGTGCAAAATGACAAAATATATGAATGCAAATTTCAAAAAAGGCATGCACATCCCACAAACCACAAAAAGTGCAGAACAAAAATGGGGCAATTACAATCAAAGAAAGCAAAGAAATTGTCTGCACACTGATGTATCTTCTCCAAAACTGTTTTAATAAAATATATGAATACAAATGTTTTCTGGAATGGAAGGTGTACAAAATATAGATAATGGGAAACAGAAAAATGTTCAGTTCTAATATTTGCCTATTGATTGTGTGCTATTGTTTTTTATTTTTCAGATGGCGTTTCTGTCTGTCATAGAACTTTTCTCCACATCAGACTGAAAGATCAGATGATTAGAAAACCGTTGATAAAAAGATTTATGTTCTGCTCTTCTGTGTGTATATGTGTGAATGCATTAGATGTCTACATTTTCTAAATGCATTTAAATATATTTTTTCATTATGTTTGTCTTTTAGCTCATAACAGGCAAGTAGTCTGTGTTTGTTTATAATTCATTTCACTCATATGGGTGGCTGACAGGTCCTGCTGTATGACAAGCATTTTGCTAATTAAGCTTGCAGCTTAGGCCCCGTCCACACATGAGACGCGTTTAGTTGTAGGCCTATACGCAAAAATGTTGTATCGTATTGACGTTTGGCCAGATGGATCCAGCGTTTTGGGAGAGTGAAACCGCTACTTTTTGAAACCGGGTCCCAGAGTGGATAAATCTGAAAAGGACACCCTAAAGTGTCCGAGTTACGTCCGACTTGCTATGATGTCATGCTGACGTGTGCCAAAAAACTCTTGTGACGATGAGGCGGCTGTGTCGGATTGTGCAGTTGCTCTCTACACTGACTGCGCTGATCAAAATCATGATGGGAAACGACTGACTGACAATGACGCTGCTTAAATCACAGGTGAAAGCCACTAAACACCAGAGCAAAATATGAACACACCGGCACTGAAGCTGAAACAAGTTGATATACACTTTTTTTTGCCATACTTTTCATGCCAGTTATAATTACAAATACTGAACATGCAAAATACAAATTACAATAAAATTACTTATTTATACATTACAATTTACTGGTCCTAGTGGTAACATGGTGAAAGCACCTTTGGGCAGGATTAGAGAAGTTTTACTCAGAAAGTTAAAGCATTTTACTGTAAAAACGTTTTTTTAGTAATACTAAATGTGTAAATTGTTGTTTGGAAAAAGCATAAAGCAATATATATATAAAGTTGTATGTGCTTGATTTAAGTGTCAATAAAATGTCAAAAACGTTTTTCTTTTTGGAAAACCAAATTCACTATTTGTTCTTTTTTTGTAAGCAAAAACTAACCCACCCAGAATGTTGCAGTTAATAACCTAAATATAACCTATACACAACGTTCTCTAATGGATATTTTTAGGCTTTATTTTTTATAACCATAAAATAACCTTCCCAGAACATTGGGAGATTTTTGTAGAAACATAAAGAGAACCTATGATTATAGCTGCAGTTTATCTAGTAGTAGATGGCAGACTTATCAATGGCTGTTAGCACAATACACGTCTTTCTTGTTATTCCGAGTCCACTCAATACTGCTCAAAACACCAGAGTTTTTGTTTAGTGTTCTGCATGCTCACAAATCATCTCATATAACAAATAAAATATAGAGAATTATGTAATTAAGAGCAGTCAGCATCATTGGTTATAATAACTGGTTATACGTTTTTGCAAGAGTGCAGCAGAAGTCTCTGAAATTGTGATGAACTAAAGCGAGTGACCTTTTAGTGATTATTAAGGGTTCACTTGTACACTTTCTATAAATAATTATTAATAATGCATAATTTGAATAAAAGTTTTGTTTTTATTGCTGCTTAGAGGACCAACGGCCACATGCATGCTGCAAAGTTTTGTGACATCTGCATTTAAATGCAGGATTCACTCTCGAAAATGCAGTGATTATAGCAGAATGATAAAACATGTATATGGGCTGGATAAAAAATGACGTTAAAATAGAAAATAGATTAAATAGAACATTTAGAACATTTTTTTTAGTCAGCAAACATATTCACGCCCAAAAAATTCAGTTGCAATTATTTGTAGAAGAAATTACTTGTAAATTTTGTATATTTTTCACTGTGCATTGCTATTCTTGATTTGGTGGTGCTTAGTTTGTTGGTTCGCTGTAACAATTTTTCAAAGTTTATGATGCCATTGTCTTACATTTTAAAATGTCTTCAGATATTTAAACTTCTGTAGTGTGTTACAATCTTTCTTTTTATGCGTTTTGCACTTTTGAGATTAATTATCTCTGTACAAGCTATATTAATTAGAGATGCACCGATTGCAATTTTCTAGGCCGATTCCGATTTTTTGTTAGTGTGATCTGCCGATACCGATTTTCTTTCTAAGAACTATAATTGACAGCATATACAAACAAAAATCTACTTTTCTTCAACGCAAAGTTTTATTTCCATTAAAAAAACACAAGTAAAAAGTCAGTGATAAAATAAGAACAAATAAAAAAATAGCAAACAACAGCACAAATAAATGCAATTGAATAAAGACAGCTATGAAACTTAGCTCTCTCAAAAACGTATCTATCTCAAATATAGCTATGAGAGCTATGAAAAAGTTTTTCAGGTTAAGTAAGATTTTATTCAGGTAAGAAATACTACAGAAATTAAAGTAATCAAATGTAAAATAACATCCATGTGGAAAATAATTAGTTTTTTAACCTTAAATCACAAACACATTTCATTACACCAAATACACAAAATAGTGTTCTTTTTTAGCAACATCATATCACCCCTTTAAATCTTTTTTTTTCTATTTTAATCCTTGTGATTCTGTTGAAAGAGCTTTTTCTTTTTTCTTTTAATGAAATTCCTGCCCAATTAAAAATAAAACTTGTGTCTTGTATATACAGATCAATCTAGAGGTGTGCCAAACACTGGGCGCTTATGTGCACCATACCACCCGCAAACGAATGGATTGGTAGAGAGGCTTAATGGCACAATTCAGAGGTTAGAAATATTTTTTTCAGTTATAGCACTTTTGGTAATTGATTAACAGGTCCCTAATGTTTCTTTTCTCGTTTTCTTCTCCTTAGAACTTTGAGCAAGCTAGTGGAAAGAAAACCAAGCTCGTGGGCAGATCATTTGGAGGCCACGATGTTTGGCTTGCAAACCAAAAAACAACTGACTACCAAATTTTCTTCTTATTTGTTGCTTTTTGGACGTGAGGCTAGGTATCCATGTGAGGTACCAGACAAATATGAGGTCAGTACAATAATTAACCTAATTTGTTTTCTGCAATTACTTTGTAAATGTAATGTGCAATTTTTATTCTTAGATCAATAAAAGTGTTGAGGAATTGATAGCAGAGGAGTGCATTTCCGAATGTGTGAAACGACACGTAGTGCACTATATAGGGGACAGGGAACGATTCAAACAGTGTAAATATGCTTTCCATTGTGGAAAAGAAGAAGTCTGGTTTCGCGCTGTGTCACGCTATCCACCGCACCGCACACACATTCTGCTCCGGTCCAGAGACACGATAGCATGGAGTGGATCACATGCGCGAGTCGGCGCAGACCACAAAATGTATCGGCGCTGTTTGAATTCTACACAGAATGCTATATTTTATATCAATATGGATGAGATTGTGGCTGGCATACCCTGTCAAATGCAAGTTTACGGAGCTCAACGGCTCTAGCCCAAGCTGTGATATAAACGAACGCTATTTTAAAAAGGGGCGGGGCTGCTTCATATGTCCCGCCTTGTCTTCCTGTTTCAGTTAAAATGTCGTCAACACAGAGTAATGCTGGTGTTTCTAAGCATTTCAGGGGACCTTTAAGGAAAATATGGCGCAGGTTCATGCTAAAATTAAAAAAAGAAAGCTACAAGGAAAGCCCAGGATCCTGCAGGTTGGAGACAGAGTATTGCGGCAAAATATAAGAAGTCAGCAAAGAAAGGGAGGCAAGCTTGACCTGGATTATGTTGGCCCATACACGGTTCTAAATGTTGATGACAAAAGCATTGATCTTATTGACGACAATGGAAAAATCTACCCCAAAGTGAACCTTGACCACTTGGTGCACTTCCAAGAAGAACCGCCAACAAAAGCTCCCAAAGTCACATATGTCACAACATCCTTACCCGCCTCTATGCCTTCAGTTCCTGTTCTAACGCCAGTCACTGTCAAGTGCCCATCTTTTCAAACCCATCTCACATTCACCCATCCTGTTACTTTGCCAATTACACAATTTTCCCTGCATCATTTAACATTGCCCTTCACACTACCTATTGTCTCATCACAGTCCCATACCATGGTTGGAGACAGAGTATTGCGGCAAAATATAAGAAGTCAGCAAAGAAAGGGAAGCAAGCTCGACCCGGATTATGTTGGCCCATACACTGTTCTAAATGTTGATGACAAAAGCATTGATCTTATTGACGACAATGGAAAAATCTACCCCAAAGTGAACCTTGACCACTTGGTGCACTTCCAAGAAGAACCGCCAACAAAAGCTCCCAAATTCACATATGTCACAACATCCTTACCCGCCTCTATGCCTTCAGTTCCTATTCTAACGCCAGTCCCTGTCAAGTGCCCATCTTCACAAACCCATCTCACATTCACCCATTCTGTTACTTTGCCAATTACACGATTTTCCCTGTATCATTTAACATTGCACTTCACACTACCTATTGTCTCATCACAGTCCCATACCATTACCCAGCCAGCATCCTCCCTCTGCCTGCTGCCTCCCAGCTTACTTGTATGTAGCCTCCTTTAAATTTTCAAAACTAATTTGAATAAAAAATTAAGCATTGCCTCTTTGTGTTTGTTTAGTGTTACATGACATCTGGGCAGGTAAATTCGGAGGACGAATCTGGAGCAAAATATGTCCATACAAACTCTTTTCTATGGATCTCGAGCGCCTCAGGCCTGGAGAGGAGCTTGAAAGTGAGGTTGGTTGCTTCCATTTGAGCATCATAATACTGACATTAACACATTGGGGTAAAATTGTGGATATTTATTTTTTCTGTTGCAGGTTGTCAATGCATACATTGCTTGTCTTGCTAAAAGTTATGCAGGGCATGCATTTGTCATTGATTCCTTCCAAATTACAAAAATGTGGAATGGCAAGGCCTGTTTAATGAAAAGGATAAAACTGTATACCAATCCTGATAAAATGAATACCATAAGTATATTATGTATCTTGGTGTATTGATCTTGTAATCACTTGTATGCCCATATAGACAGATCTACAAAAATATGATTTGCTGCTGGGGTCTTAAATGAGACTCACCACTGGACACTCCTGGTTTGCTTCATTCCCTGACTTCTATCCATTTTTTTTCTTGTACCTTGTAAACTTGTA